CCCCCCGCCAGTTCCTCCCTTACTCTCTGCTTCCTATCCGCAGTTACTTAAGCAGCTCTCCTCCTCCCAGTCCGTCTGCAGTGCCTTCGTGCCTTGGAACCAGCAGACTACGGACTGAAATGTAAGCCAAAATAAACCTCTCCTCCTCTAACTTTTGGGTGTCAAGTACTGTGCCTCCGCGAAGAAGACAGCGACTAAGACAGAAGCACAGCTGGTTTTCAGCAGAACCCAGCAGAGACACTGTGGAGACTGCTGCAGGGGGCCTGCTTGCTGCCCCGAGACAGCCTGTCACGAATGGCTTCTGAACACCCCGTCTTAACTTCGCTATCAACAGCCAAAGCCTTGAAAGGTGCACCTAGTGACTAAGCCCAGGTCGGATGTCTCCACTTACCCTGGGCATGGTTTTTCACTTAAGTGACACCAGGAGGAAGAGTCTTGTCGAATAAGAGGGCAAGAGTTCTGTGTTGGATCAGCAAATCAATATGACATAGGACTTTTTTTTTTTTTTTTGAGGCAGGGTCTCACTATGTAGCCCAGGCTGGCCTTGAACTTGTGGCGATCCTCCTGCCTCAGCATCCTGAGTACTGGGATTACAGGTCTGCACCACCACACGGTGCTGACATAGGACTTCTTATCCCCATTTCCCAGATGAGGAAGTTGAGGCTCAGGGAATTCAAGTAACTGTCCAAAGTTATACAGGTTCATAGGTATCTGATGTGAGATCTCATCACACAGTGTTACCAAGGTGCTTTTAAGTACTCAGTATGTGATCTTCTAAACTCACTGTAGTCTGGGAATGTACTGAGTTTACTTCCCTGATGTAGGGGTGGTGATGTACTGTGCTGCTTCACCCTCTTACTGTCTTTTCCTCCTCTCCTATCCCCTTTTTTGCGGGGGAGTTAATTGGGCCAGGGATTCATTACATAGTTCAGGATGGCCTTGAGCTCACTACAACTCATAGCTGTCCTCCAGCCTCAGCCTCCAGAGTGGACTACAGGTGTGCGTGATGACACCTGGCCTCTCTCCTCTTGACACTTGACACTCTTCACCTTCTCCAGGAAGCTGCTGGAGAGTGACATAAAATTTTTCCTTCTCTGAATTTTCAGTGCATTTTTAACTCTAGCCTTTCTAAGTCTGCTACATCCTCACCTTTTTATTTTGTGACAGGGTCTTGATAAATTACTAAATTGTCCAGCCTATTCCAATATTTGTGATCTTCCTGCCTCAGCCTCTCAGAGTGTTGGGATTACAGATTTGTGCCACCACAGGCAGCATTAAGCCTGCCCTTGGTAATTCAGCTTGGTATGTAAAACATTATACATACCTCTATCTAGCTTTGTATGAATTTGTTACAATATTGTCTCAGAATTGTAACTTTTTTCTTTCTTACTACTCCCAAGGTTGGGTCATCAGTAGGTGTGAAACAAATTTTTGTTGAAAGGAAATCAGGTGTGGAACAGGGTCCTTTCAGTGGGACAAGGGGCTTCTAACTGGTGTTCCAGAGTCACTGGGTTTGCTTCACTATACTTGCCCTCCTCCCCTAACAAGTATTCATGCCTTTGCTTGTTTGTTTGAGACAGGGTCTTGATATAGTTCAGGCTGGCCTGGAACTTAACTATGTAGCGCTGGTGGTCCTTGAACTCATGCAGATCCTCCTGCCTTGGTCCCTCAAGTGCTAAGATTACAGGCCTGCATGACATCAGGCACAGGTTATCATGTTTTAACATTCTATGTTAGTGTGGCGGGGCTCCTCTGAACAAAGAAAGGCAACATGGCACAGTTCCTAGATATGCATGGGTAGCTCTAGTAGGACTCTGTGACACGGATTATACCCCATCAGGCTGTAGTATGTCTGTGTGTTACCATTTAAGGGAGACAGACACAAAAATTGTATAAAAGGCAAAACTCTGCCATAATCAGGGTTCAGCCCACTGAGCTCGTGCTGGCACGAATAAAGTTTTTTGTGGAAAGATACGCCTTGGTGTTCTGTTTCTCTGCAAGAATCCGGCTACATAAGTAGATGAGAAAAATTAAAATGCATGAAGAACCTGAGCTTGTGTTGAGTATTGGTTTGATGGCCAGTACCACACACACACTTTCCTAGCAGATTGGGTTGACTTTCCTCTATAAACTCTAAAACATTAGACAAACTAATCACTCAGAATGTTTTTCTCATTGCACCTATTTCATAGTCATTACGATGATGGAAATATACACACACTGTGCACATATAACAGGTGGCTGGCAGTGTGTGTGGTGCTGGGACTGAACCTAAGGCATTGTATATGCTAACCAGGCACTCCACTGAACTACATCCCCAGTCTCCACTTTCGTTTTTTTATTCTTTGAAACACGTTCTCATTACATAGTCCAGGCTGGTCTTCTGTGTGGGGTGTGTGTGTGTGTGTGTGTTTGTAAGAGGGGACTGAACCCAGGGCCTTTGCCTTGAGCTACATCCCCATTGAGACAGGGTCTCACCAAGTCACTAAGTTGTCGAGGCTGGACTGGAACTTGTGACCCTCTTTCCTCACAGAGTGCTGGGATTACACGGTGTTTTGGACATATTAGACACTCATAGGGCTGGGCATGGTGGTGCACGACTGTGATCCCAGGACTCGGGAGGCTGAGGCATTAGAATCGCCTTGAGTTCGAGGCCAGCCTGAGTACATAGTGAGTTCAAAGCTATCCTGAACTACGGCGAGACTCTGTCTCAACAAAACAAAACAAAACAAAAACCACAAGAGAGAGAATAGAAGACACTCACAATTTTTTTTTATTTTTTTTATTTTTTGATACCGGGTATCGGACTCGGGACCTTGCGCTTGTGAGGCAGGCGGCGGCACCACTGAGCTAAATCCCCGGCCTGACACTCATATTTGTTGAATGAGTTTGTTTCTAACATTTCACTTGCAAATTTGCAATAAATACTCTGGCACATAAATCCTTCCAAACTCTGCCAGTGTTTCTAGAGGCCACATTATGCCTGGAAAGAACCGTCGAGTTAAGTCTGCCACACTTCGAAAACACCGCTCTCTTCACTGGTTTCCTAGCTGCCTTCGCCAACTTCTCGCGACACTTTCCTGGGCCGTGGCCTTCGCGGTGCCTGCTGGGAATCGTGGTCCGAGGCCACCTTGGGAAGCGGGAGCGGGCGAGCTACCGTGGGCCGGGCTCTAGGACCCGACAGGGAGCGGCGGGCCGGGAGGCCGGGCGCGCTCTCGGAAGCCGGAGAGGTAGCGGCGTCGGGAGCGAGCAGCCCGGGCGGCGGAGGAGCCGGGGCTCGGTAAGAGGCGCCGGCCCGACCCTCCCGCGAGTCCCCCTGTGCGAGGCCTCGTTCCGGAGGCGCTGTGGGGGCGGGGCCTGCGCCTCAGCGGGGAGGATTGGGGGCGCGGAGACCCGAGGGAGGGCGGGGGCTGCGGTGGCGGGAAGGCCTGGCCAGGCCGCGGCCCAGCGAGACGGCGTCCGTCGCTCCTCCCGCGGCTCGTCCTTCCGGCCCCGCTCCGGCCTCGCCTCCCACCTCCCCTCCCGGAAGCCGACGGTGACCTTTGACCCCGCACCGGGCTGGCCGCGTCTGCTGCCTTTTCTCGCGTGTCCTCGGGGCCCTGGAGGGCCAAGGGCAGGCAAGACCTCTGGGCAGGCCTGGAGGGAGCCCTTTTCCCCCTTTCAGTAGTGGGGCTTGATTCCAGGACGTTCACGCTGAGCTACATCTCTGCCTTTATTAATTTTTTCCCTTAATTTTAAATTTTGAGACAGGGTATCTCTAAGTCTGTGAGTTACCCACTCTGGCTGGGCTCGAATTTTCGATCCCCATGCCTCAGCCTCCCAGAGTGCTGGGATCACAGGTGAGCTGCCCGGCTTGTCAGAAGTCTTAAGGTGTCCCGGAACTGTCCAGACCTGCCTTCAGTCTCCAACCCACAGACTTCACCCACCTTTTACACAGAATCGGTGAAGCTGGGTTACTTGATGCAAGTCTTAGAAAGGAATCTATTCTCAGGCGGGTGTGGGGATGAAAGAAGAGGACAGAGGACTGGTTTCCTGGAGAAGAGGAGTCATCAGAGCTGAGGAGTGCTGCCCCTGGAGAACAGGGCAGTAAAATTTGAGCCAGGCCTGAATAAATTTATTTACATCGTCAGATTCTCCACATTTCCCCTTTCCTCCATCAAACTCAGGACCTCGCGCTTGCCAGGCAGGTGCGGTGCCGCTTAGCTACATCCCCCGGCCGATTCTTCTTTTCTATCTTAATTTTTGAGACAGGGTTTTGCTATGTAGTTGGGGCTGGCCTGGAGTTAGAAGCGATTCTCCTTTCTCAGCCTCACAAATTCTTGCATCACAGACACACCACGCCTGGCCTCCCAGACTGCCCAGGACAGTTAGGGCAAATATAGTTTGTGTTCCTGCCTGACCTAGCACAAGTCACTTCAGCTGAACATGTGTGCATACTAATTTCTGTGTGAAGAATTTCAGGATATTTCATAAGGGAAAGGTGCATTCCTCTAGTTGGGATTGTAAAGGAAAGTCCTATTCTTAGTGAATAAAGGAGCTTTTCAAAAAAAATTTTTTTTCGGGCCAGGCGAGGTGACACACTGTGTATCCTGGGCTGCCCCTGGTCTACATGGTGAGGTCAAGGCCCGCCTGAACTGCATAGTGAGACCCTGTCTCAAAAAAGCAACCAACACCCCTCCCTCCAGGTTTTTTTTTTCAGTATTGAGGGTTGAACTTGGGGGTTTCCTCAGGTTCTTTTTTTTTAAATTTTGAGACAGGGCCTTGCAAAGGCTCTAAGTTGCCTGGGCTGGAGTTGAACTTGTGATCCTGGCCTTTGTTGTGTTTTCATTAGATTTGCAGTCATAATTCACTCATTCAACGTTTATACAAAACAAACAAATGTGGAAACTCCAAAGCAGTTGTTATGAAATTCAGAACTTCATAGGCTGCCATTTAGGAATCTGTAAAGTTTGGAGGAAATGGCCACATTACAAGTAGATTCAGCGTGTATGAGGATGAGTTTCTTATGCAACACATTTATTGAGTGCTTACTGTGTAACTGGCACTGAGGAGAGCAATAGTAGCACTCCTCAAGAACATCATAATGAGAGACATAGTGTGATGAAAAATTGTCTTTTTTTTTTATAGTACTAGGGGTTGAACTCAGGTTCTTATGCATGCTGAACAAGTGCAGTGAGCTAGATCTGCAAGCGTTTTTTTTTTTTTTTTTTTTTTTTATCAGGAATGAAACTAGGGACCTCAGGACCTTGCACTTGCGAAGGAGGCACAGCGCCACTGGGCTAAATCCCCAGGCCTTTGTTTTTGTGTTTTGAGACAAGGTCTCACTAAGTTACTCAGACTGGCCTTGATCCTTTTGCCTCAACCTTCAGAGTAGCTGGGATCACAGGCATGTACCATCACTCTTGGCTTGATGAGATTTTGTAGGGCTGTGTGTTACGTGTCCTTATAAAGACATTTGTGCAGTGTGAAGGGAATCCTGCCATTTCTTTGTTTTTTATTAAAAATTTTTATTAGCACACGTTCGCAGTACATAATGTTTACATTCATAGTGGGGTATTGGTACCTGTACATAACAAACACATCTTAATTCCTTTTACTTCCTCTTCTCTTCCTCTCATCTCCATCTATCTCTTGGTACCTTTTCCATTTGCAAAAAATCTAGCTCTCTGTTTCCTATTATCTATCTTTAACTTGCTCTTTAAATTTTTTATACTTTGGGTTTCTCATATAAGAGAAATATGATATTTAAGCTTGTGTCTTTTTTTACTTTTTTTTTTGCTTAAATTCTTTTATTGGTACATTTTAGGTATACAGTACGTTTACATTTATCATTGGGTGCTTGTACCTATACGTGATGTATCTTGGTTATTTTCTCCCCATTACCTGTGCGCCCTTCACCCGCTCCACCCTTCCCTATTTACATAGACTTTGTTTCCATTTTTTTTCTTTTCTCATAATTTTTCCTTTCCATTCTTTCCTTTCCCCATCTCCTCCCACCACCCCTACCCCTTTGGATCTTTTCCTATTTCAAAGTATCAATTATTAGTTATTAATCCTTTTAATCCTTATCCTGCCATTTCTTAGGAGAGTCAGGGCAATCTGTGGGGCGGAGATACTTGAGTTGGGTGTTGAAGGATAAATAGGAACTTGCACAAGTAAGAAAAGACAATCTAGTTTGAAAGAACAGCATTTGCAAAAGGCATGGGGAAAGTGAGGGAAAAAATAACATGTTTCTGGGCTGGGGATGTAGCTCAGTGATAGTTAACATGTGCTAGACCCTAGGTTCCATCCTCGGCACAAGGAAAAAAACATTTCCGAAACATATTGTGTGATGGGGACATTGCCTGGTGGTGAGGCTGAAAAGAAGGTGGAGAGCCACTGAAAATTTTTAACTCAGGGAGTGACAAGTGCAGATTAAAATAAAAATATGACCAGGTTTGGTGATCCATGCCTGCAATCCTAGCACTCAGGTGGCTGAAGTACAAAGACTATGAGTTCCAGGCCAGCCTGGACTACGTAGTAAGACCCTGTCTCAACAACAATCAAAAAAAAAAAAAAAAGGGGGAGCAAGCCTGGTGTGGCTTTCACCTGTAATTTTAGCACTCAAGAAGTTGAGGCAGGAAGATTGTAGTGGGTTCAAGGCCAGCCTGGGCTACATAGTGAGCCCCTGTCTCAAAAAGGGGGGGGGGCTTGGTGAGACAAGAGACACTAGAGTTGTTACAGTTGACTGAGAGTGTGAATAAACCACTGTGGTAATGAAGAGGAGAACAGATGTTAGAGATAGTTCTGCGTTTGGGCTGGGGATTTAGCTCAGTGGTGCTGCCGCCTGCCTTGCAAGCATAAGGACCCAAGTTCAATCCCCAGTGCAAAAAAAAAAAAAAAAATTCTGAGTTAGATACAAAATGACTTACGACTTTAGGAAAAGAATGGGCTATGACTTCTAACGAGAGGCAGAATGGATAGGGATTTCATTGAGTAGACATGGATATGGCTAGAATTCTATATTTTAGGGTATAAACTTAGAACTTTTTTTTTTTTTTTGAGACAGGGTCTCACTGTATAGTTGAACTATTATTTTGAGGCTGGCATCAAACTCATGGTGATCTTCCTGCCTCAGCCTCTCGAGTGCTGGGATTACAGAGTGTTGGGATTACAGGCCTGTGCCACCACGGCCAGCTTGGTTTGTTGTTTGATTTTGGTAGTGCTGTGGATCAAACCCAGTTCTAGGTCCATGCTAGGCAAGCTTGCATCCCCAGCCTACAGTAGGTTTTTTTTTTTAAATTTTTTTGGTACCGGGGATTGAACTCGGGACCTCATGCTTTCGAGGCAGGTGGAGGAACCACTGAGCTAAATCCCCAGCCCTACAGTAGGTTTTAATTAATTAATTAATTATTTTTGGGCACCGGGGATCGAACTTGGGTCCTTGTGCTTGTGCAGCAGTACAGTAGGTTTTTAAATGCTGGGGTGGCCATAGAAAGTAGTTAGGGGAGACAGTCAGGTCTGCTGAACTCAGGCTGCTTGTGGGGAGTACAGATGCAGATAGTGGGCAGTGAGAAGGGGATCTAGTTACCTATGTCTTTCAGTTCCTCAGTATGTGGAACTAAGTCACTCATGAAAAGACTTCAGAATTGCTTCAGAAAGTGGCAAAGTGATGGGATAGGTGTTTTCAGAGAAAGAGGGGAAGTATTTTGAGGGGAATTAATGGCAAAGTATCTTTTTTGTTTGTTTGCTTTTTGAAATAGGGTATATGTAGTTCAGGCTGGCCTTGAACTCATAGCAATCTTTCTGCCTCAGCCTCCCAAGTGTTGGGATTATAGGCATGTGCCACCATGCCTGGCTGCCAATTTATCTTTTACTTTTAAACTTTTAAAAAAATTCACCATTGGCCTGGGTATTTAGCTCAATGGTGCCCGTGTCTACCTCTCGAGCACAAGATCCTGAGTTTGATCCCCAGTACCAAAAAACAAAACAAAACAAAAAATCACCGTATTTTTTAATCATACTTCAAAAGTTTTTTTTTTTTTTTTTTTTGTCTCTGAATACTGGGGATTGAACCCAGGGCCTTCACATTGAGCTGTCTTCCCCCTCTTTTTAAATTTACTTTTTATTTTGAGACTGGATCTTGATTTGCCCAGCGTGGGCTTGAATTTGTGATTCTCCAGACAGCCTCCCAGAGATCTGGGATTATGGGTGTGTGCCACCATGCCCACCTTGACAATAGTTCTGAATAAGTGAGGGTTTATATAAAAAATAATCCTGAGGAAAAATGTTTATTTTGTT